TGCGGGTAAAATGCCAGAAATTACAGTAAGGTTAGGTGGTGAAACCAATGTTAAGATGGTTGATATTGAAAGGTCCTGTTAATATTAGATGATGGTATTCCTTGTTGATTTAAGCTCGTTATCTTTTCACCGATAACAAGTTTTAGTTAAGATTGCATTAACAAGAAGTCAATGATTGTGATTGCATCACTGCATGTGGACAAAGTCAAAACCTGAGATGCCTGACGTCAATTTTTCTCAAAAAAGAGCGATTGATAAATTAGTTAATGGATGATTAAGTAAGAATTCAAACCAAACCACTTTGACAGCATGAACCATTCCCTGCTATTAAAGAAGCTTTATGCCCAGGGTATTGTAGATCAAGAACACATGTGGTTTACTGACTATCTGAAAGGTAGAACTTAAGTTGTTGGGTTCCAGGGAGCTTTCTCAGATGCTGAATCTGTTTTGTGTTGGTGTGCCCCAAGGATCGATCTACGGACCTCTGTTATTTGTGCATCTTGTGAACAATCTACCCACTGTTGCCCGCAAGTGTAGTACACTTATGTATGCTAATGACACTGTTATTCTATTCTGGAAAGGTTACTGCTACAATCGAGAAAAGTCTCAATGAAGATCTTGATCTAATTAGATCCTGGCTCTGTGATAACACCCTATTTTTAAACACAGTTATGACTGGAGCTATATTGTCTGGAACTCATGCTAGGCTTTTTGATCCAAATTTCCATATAGTGCTTAAGGACTGACCTATGAAGTGTGTTTATGAATTCAAGTATTTAGGAATTGTATTTAATGAACATCTTTCTTGGAATTTTCATGTTAAATATATTTTTCCCAAGTTGGTAAACAACTGGGAATGTTAGGATGCATTAAGGGGAATCTTACAACCAACCGTGCTAATTTCATTTACACAACTTATATTTGTCCTATTATGGATTATTGAGACACCATGTCAAACTGCTCCTTAGCTGGCAACAGTTTGTCACTGAGGAGGCTTCAAAGACATGCCACTAAAATTGTTTAAAAAATGAGCAGCAGTGTCAGAGCTTTGGGTCATCTTAAGTGGCCATCTCTGGTAAATAGACAAGAGAGCCATGCTAATGACCTCGTCAAAAGATGCATTAAAGGACATTGTCCACAATTGTTTAAAAACTATTTTATCTTTAACAGTTTTGTCCACAATTGAATTACGAGGCAAATGAACATGTGACACTTGCCAAGAGTTAAACTAACTTAGCTAAAACTCTTTTTCGTATAATGGTTCTGTGGTTTTTAATAAGCTAAATTTTTAAGGTTTTAAGATTTTATTCATTTTTACTGTAACTGTATATAGCCCATATTTTAAGATTAACTTAACTTTTCCTATGGTTTACCTGTAGAAGTAGTAGTTTAGCATGATTGTGTAGTTCTTATCATTTTAATTTTCATCAGGGCCCCAATTGATGGCAGCGCTTAAGGCATCTCAATGGGCTACCCTAAATAAATAAAGGTCTTCTTCTTCAAAGAAGTTCAGATACTGCATTGCCTGTCCTTTCCTTAGTTTTCTCCATGGTTGTCTGAATTCACAAAGGCATAATGATTTGGAATGTGCACCCAACTTAAGGTGAAAATCATACAACGCCTCGATTTATTGGGTATTGATTGTTAGGCAATGAATGAGAAACAAACTGAACATTCACAGCATGATATTACACATTACGAGCAAAAACAAAATTTTTTGGCATTGACTTAATATATGTGAGAGTTATTCTCAAAAGGGGAGATTAGGGTGGGTACACTTGATTTCTATTTGGCTGTCTTGATCTTTTGACCTGTTTACAATTCCGTCTGTTAGACTTTGGGGTAATCTTCTGCTGTTAAGTCTTTTAGGAGTTGCTGTTAGCAAATTACTGGAAAATATGGGGTCAAATCCAAGGGAAATTGGGTTTTTTTAAGTAAGCAGGGTTTTCGAATTTGTTGGGTTTGAGTTAGTGGGGTTCTAATGACAGGATCTATTTTCAGCATGCAAAGGATGGTGGTGTTTTGGACACCTGGTCAAGAATATATTCTTCACATTCTTCTTAAAGGCTACCTTCTATAACTTTCTTTCATCTTGTCATGCCATGAGAAATTCTGAAGAGCCCTACAAACTTTTCTTCATCTACTGTTACTCAAGGCCTAAAACTTATCCATGGACAAAAAAGGCTCATATTAAAGGGGTCGTAACAAGGGCCTGCCCACATGCCACTCTAAGCTGGGGCTGAATGTAGTTATATTTTTGAGAAGCCTGAAAATGTTCCTGTGATGTTCTCACATTTACAAGCATGGTATATTATTATTTCATTAAATCAATGCAGACATGATCAGGAAACACATCAAAGTTACAATTGTTTGTTGTAATGTAGTATGTCAAGTTGGTTTTCACATGCTGTGCAACTTTTTATGCTGCAACTAAAACTCTTAGCAAATTTATCATAACAAAATGTAATTAAACAGGTCTGCAAAACAAAAACGCAGCCAAATTTCATGCGTAATGGTTCATTTTTATTCATACCTCTCAGTAAAAGAAAAAGACAATTTTGGTTACATGCATTATTGCCATGGGGATGAACGTGCAAAGCACATGAGTGTCTTCATACAAGCAGTTCACACAGCATGCCATCTGTTCCGCGTTGTAGCATTTCAGGTCATTTTCCACCATTGCGTGTTTTAGGATTTGGGTTCATTATCTGCCATCACATGTTTCAGGATTTGGGGTCATTTTCCACCATTCCACAGTTCCAGCTTTTAGGGTTGCCCACTGGAATAGCCTGCCATATTGCAATAGCTGACAATTTCCAATAGTCACCTGACTCGGAAACTTGTTACTAGTGCTCCTCAAGTGTACCTCTAGCCAGTAGGATTTAGGCACAACCCTATGGGAGAATGGAATTTTTATCTTGGAAGTCCAGTTCTAACTACTTTTGTCTAACTTTTTAGTTATTGCTTCCAGTTGACTTCTGAGGATCCTCAAATTCAGTCCAGCTGAAGAACAACTTATATCTCTCTTATAGATGGACAGCCAAAATTTTTTTTTAGATCACTTTCTGAAGAAAAACCTCGGATGACAACAATGGACAGCAAACATTTTTTTTAGGATCACTTTACTGAAGGAGCTTAGACACAAGGCTAATTTGGTAACCAAGTCCTCTGATGACGTATTAACAATTCTTCACTCATCTCCCCCAACTGGTTGAAGTGCAACTGGAGGGGGACAAGCAAGGAAAAAACAAATGGGAAGTTATCTATTGACTTTTCTATTTTGCAATTTCATGGCAAAGAATATTACCTTATCTCCTAATATTACCTTATCTCCTTATATTACCTTATCTCCTTGCACATCTCCTTGTGGAATAAGATTTACAGTTTGCCTTTCCAGGTCGCGTTAGATACATATACGAGAGATTTTCAGTACAAAATCTTAAATAGAATATTATTTACTAACTCTAAACTATTTAAGCTTAAACTGGTTGAGTCACCTTTATGCTCATTCTGTGATAAGAACGAGGAAACCCTTGAACATCTTTTTGTTTTTTGTGAACACTCTAGAGCTTTCTGGAAAGAAATCTCTAGTTGGTTACATGAATGCGGTATTGAAACGCTTCCTAATCTAACAGATCAAATTAATATTATGTTTGGCTTATTTTATGTCGATAATCACTTTATGCTTTTAAATCACATCATGTTAATAGCGAAGCAGACCATCTTTCTCTGCAGACAGAAATCTATTACCCCAAGCTTTACTATCTTCCTCGCGCACCTTAAAAAAATTTTTTAGAATAGAAGAATACCTAGCTAAAGAAAAGAAAAAACTAAACCTGCACTTAATGAAATGGGAAACTTTTACAATCACTCAGTTGAAATAACTTTACCTTGGGTAGCCTTGTATTAATATTTTTGTTTATTTATTTATTTATTTATTTACTGACCTTATACAGTTTTATTTACTTTGTACTGCTGTAATTTTTTTTTTTTTTTTTAATTTAAAATGGAAAAAAAAAATCTTGGAAGAAGTCCTTGTCTACGTGTGTTACCTTGATTGGAAACTTGGCAAACCAGTTAGTGAGTATTTAGCAATTCAAGAGCCAAAGTCAGGGTGTGGTTCAGATGTCCTGGAGGCCATAAGCACTTGTGTATCGCAAACAACAGGAATGGCAGACAGAGAATGGAAGGAAAGACTGACTGCATTGGCAGTGATGGATGCGCTGAAATGACGGGTTCTAAAAGTGGAGTTTGGGGTCGACTTCAACAAGATCCATCAACAAACTACTTCAAGGAGTTCTGGTGTGGTGCTCACAAAGTACAGCTTGCTGTTGTCAAGTCCTTGGAGTACTACAATGACTTCATAAAACTCAGAGGAACACTACAGAGCTTATACAAAGAGTATCATTACAGTGCAACAGCTCTGAGAGAACTAAGAAATCTCGCAGAAGCCCTGAAAGAGAAAGTGTCAAGGCCACTGAACGTCTTGGGAGCTCGGTGGCTTCCGCATTTGCAAACAGCCTTGAAAATCGTCTTTGATGGCTACAAAGTGCTTGTTATGCATTCTGAAAACACTAAGGAGGGCAGAGTCGGGTCAGCTGGAAGACAGGGCAGAGCTACATTTTCTGCAAAGTTCTTGACATTTCTGAGGGGCCTGTTGTTTGCACACCTGACTTGGGACATTGTGGAGGAGGCAGCATACCTAAGCAAAGTATTTCGAGCTGACTTTACCACTGTCACACGAGCAATGGCAGCAGTGAACAATTTCCAATTGAGATTAATGAAAATGAAAAGACAAATTGCCCGAGACTTCAACTTTTCCTGCAAAAGATGGAGGGAACGAAAACCTTCAATGAGATCCCCATTGTCACGAGTGATCATGATCTCAAAGAGTTTGAAACAAAAAAGCAGAGAGTTTTGAATGATGTTCTCCAGAATGTACAGGAAAGGTTCTTAAAGCTGCAGCAGTACTGGATCCAGACATCTAGCCAAAAGATGAGATGGAGCTGTCCACATATGGCGAGGAAGAAGTGCAAGCACTGGCAGATCAGTACAAAGATCATTTGTTGAGAGCTGGGTGCAAGCTTACTGAAATTGATAGAGAATGGTCAATGGTAAAAAGTCATGTCAATCTTCACTTAGGTGGGAGAAGTTCAGAAGAAGTGTTTGCATCAATCTTTAAAAGTCTCGCAAGTCAGTGCCATAATTTCCTGTTACTCGCGGAAATTGTTCTTACCTGGCCTTTGTCAACAGCTGTAGTGGAAAGAGGTTTCAGCAGCATGAACCGGGTCAAGACGCTTTTGAAGTCAAGCATGAGCCAGGAAAATTTGGATGACATCCTCAGAATCTCAATTAAGTACCATTCGATCCCAAAAGCCCAGAAGCCCCAGGAATTTGTCAACTCCGGCCTCCTTTCAAAGGCTGTTAGCAAGTTCCGCACTTCAAGCATTCGACCTCAAAGAGAAGAATGGGTAGAGACCCATCCTGAGGCAAGAATTTGGGCTGGTCTTCCAAAGAAGGAAAGTTGCTGAAAACTTACAAATGTGTTTAACTTTATGAGCTATTAGGCCATTGTGTTACAGAACATTTGTAAGAATTTGTATGCGTCTATATGGTTAGTTTTATCACAGAAAATGAAAACATGTATTTGTTACCACATAACTTTTTTGTAGAAACATAAACACTACTGATGAATTTCACTGGTAGTGGCCAGTAAATTTAAGATTATTTCAGCATTTTAGATTGTAAGTGTACCAGATAAATTTCACTGGCAGTGGCCAGTAAATTTAAGAGTATTTCAGCAATTTAGATTGTAAGTGTACTAGATGAATGTCACTGGCAGTGACCAGTAGTTTTAAGAGTATTTTAGCATTTTAGATTGTAAGTGTACTAGATGAATTTCACTGGCAGTGGCCAGTAAATTTAAGAGTATTTCAGCATTTAAGATTGTAAGTGTACTAGATGAATTTCACTGGCAGTGACCAGTAAATTTAAGAGTATTTCAGCATTTTAGATTGAAAGTGTACTTGATGAATTTCACTGGCAGTGGCCAGTAAATTTAAGGGTATTTCAGCATTTTAGATTGTAAGTGTACTAGATGAATTTCACTGGCAGTGTTCAGTAGATTTTTAAAAGAGTATTTCAGCATTTTAGATTGTAAGTGTAATAGATGAATTTCAATGGCAGTGTCCAGTAGATTTAAGAGGTTTGACTGTTTCGGCATTATAGATTGTAAGTGTACTGGATTAATATTTTAAAAACCAGAATACTCTATAATAGAATAGTATTGCAATATCGCACAGTTTCTGTTAATTGTCGAATTCCTCATTTTCACTAAACTAGAAACGGGATCCATGGAAATATTTTTTTGAAGCATATAAATTAATGACTGGTATTAGACCAGCTTGAGACAGAGACTGAGTAATGTAAATGTATCAATCTACTCTTTGAATACAAAAGAAGATTGAATTTAACATCCATGTAAGTCATTTAAACAACACTTTCTTTAAATGCTAATATAACAGGTTTTGTTCTGTATATTTTGTGCTGTTCAGTTATTTGTAAGAGAGACTACATTAAGACTGAGTAGAAGACAACCAAAGCTGTTATTAACTTTTCTAGAGAAATATGTTGTAATCATTGGTGAAAAAAAAAATCAAGGCCTGATCAAACTTCCTTGACAAATTTTCCTTGATAATTTGTAACAGTGATAAATTTACTGTGAAGTCAAACTTGTCTATTGTCAGTAAATACGTAAGCAGGCAAGAATAATCATCACTGAGATACTGCCTATGCCATAAAACAACAGTAAAATGCTAAATTCTATGATTATTATTTTCATGGTTAATTATTAACTGATTCAACTATAAAATGGATTATTAATTAATTAATCTATTAATTAAATAATTAATCAATTCGGGCGACCAACCTGGAAGGCTGGGCGACCTACTTGACATGGTTAGGCACCCAAAGGGCGCCCTGAAAATTTTCCTAGAGCACAGCCTTGAAATGTATTCTCAGAAACACGGTTATGTTACTTAGACAGTGATACTGACTACAGCATCAATGGGTATACCCTATTTAGAAATGATAGTCATTTTGACGTTTTCGATACAAGACCTTATGGTGGAACCGCAGTGTACAGTAAAATTCCTTTTCTACCTTGATATCCAGTTTGCAACAACACTGGTGGTGTTGAAATAACTATCATTAAGGTTACAATAGTTCCACATATTACCATAATAGGCATATATCGATCACCAAGAGTGCCAATTAGACAAATGTGTGTAGCATTGATCGGACTTCTTACCCTTGATACTTCAGGTTTCAAAGTTTTCATTGGCGATTTCAATATCAAATGGTTAAATGAAAAAGACAAGATTCCTCTTTATAATCTATTTATAAGAGATCACAGTTACAGACAACTGGTATCATGTTCTACTACTGATAACAGAACCACTATAGACCATGTCTACACTAATTTACCTGAATCACAAATCCATGTTCACATTTTAGAAACTTATTTTTCTGATCACAAAGCAATCTGTGCATTGATTCAAAAATAGACCTTCATGGTTTTCTTGTCACCTTCACTGTAACTTCCATGTGTTTTTTTTTTTTTGTCTTAAAGAGAATATTCATAGTTAATGAGTACAAAAAAATGAAATTAACTCAAATGTACCCCTTAGATACCAATCATGCACTGTGATTGACATCTAAGGGGTAATCTGTAGATATGTGATATGCAACACATATCCAGGTAAGTTTATTTTATGATTATTGCTTTTGTGCCCTGTAGTACATACAGATTGCAGTTTTCTTTGATACCTGTTCTACAACCTACAGTTACTGATACCATTTATTTCTCTTCGCCCTCCAGGTAGACACACCTCAGTTGTAATAGGACACGAACGACAATGGACAACCTAAAAGGATACATTCATAACGTATCCCTTGTTAAGCACTCCAACAAGACTCGCTATTTTGACATGCTTATTCAAACAGAAGCAACCAAAGTACGTGGAGTCTGTTTCTCTTCAAGCAAGCATCTCAACTTTGAAAGATGCAGCAAACAAAAGTCCCCAGTAAAGATTAGCAACATCACTATTAAAAATGACAGTGTTCTCATGAATGCAAGAGTCCAAATAGAGGAACTGAAGGAGGTCACTTTCTATGAGAAGAGATTCCCTCGACTCTAAACATCTCAATGCTCTTGAATGTCTCCAATAACCAACTTATTAATCTCAAAGCCAAAGTGGTCCACTTATCTGGAGTGAAGAAAATAATCACAAGAGATGGCACGAAGTTGAAAGCTGATTGTTGCCTCCTAGATCCATCTGGATCTATCAAACTAACCCTGTGGGAGGACCTGATTACAGAGGTTGCAGACGACAACACATAACTTCTGTAACCTTAAAGTGACGAAGGATAATGACAACTACTCCATTTACCTTACTACACCAAAGCATGACTGTTCCATTACACCAGCTGATCCCTTCCAAGAGGAAGTAGCTTCACCAGGTGATTTGCCAGACTACTTCACCCAAACATCAACAAATGCTGAAGTCCTTGGTGTTCAAAATTTCATGTGCTATTGCTAATGTTGCAAATGTAACAAAAAGCTTCCAGCAACACCAGGGAATGTAGTAAAGTGTGAAACATGTGGCCTCAGGCAGAAAGTGTCTGCTTGCAGCAGTCAGTACCACTTGCAAGCATTGCTGAGACATGATGACATTAATACCACTATAACATTTTTTAATGATACTTTGCTCAGTGCCTTACAGTTGTTTAAAGTTGACACTAAGCAGTCATTAAGTGAAGATATTGTTGTTGAAGCATTCCTAAATACATCAATGCTCTTTGTTACCTTTGATAAGAAAACTAAAGTTGTGGCTGCGGTCAGTGTTGCAGAGAACTAAACTGCAGCAAGAACCAAAATAATGGTAAAGATCAGAATGCATCCACTCTATATTACCATTTAACAGGATACCAAAGCCATTGTTGTATCTTTCACTTAAGACAAAAATGTTCATGTTATTATCACTGGGACAATGTTCTGTTCTAACATTCCCCTTCTCCCAAGTGACTTTTTGTATTTAAAAGTATTTAGATATTATATATTTTATTGAGTTTGTACATTCAATTGAAAACTGCAACTGAAGTACATTTATGAACAGTCTTTTTAATGCTTATACATTGAGAAGAGAAAGTTTCAACAGGAACTCAAGGCTTTTAATGCAGATTACTGATGCTGCCACTTATAATTTTCAATTACAACAGTAACCCGTCTCAGTTGAAACCTTCAGTAATTATCAAGTAGTGGAGCTGTTCGCATTTCTTCATACTCTCTTGTTGTTAAACTTTCTATTTCTTTTTTATATTACAGTTATATGTTCATTAAATTTTCTGATGTAAAAGAAAAAAAATCACAATTCCTAACTTGAATCATGTTTTGTTCTTACTTATTGTATTAAATACATACAGTTACGATTCCTTTTGTAATGCAGGCTGCTTTTTCCAATAAACTTGTTCATCCCTAATGTCTATGTTCCAGTCTCTGTGTTCCAGATTTTAGCCACCTAACCTTGCAGCTAAAATTATTCTAATCAATTCTTCTTCAAATTGTTGAATTGAACTTGCAACCAAACCAGCACAAGACACACGTACGCATTGCAGACCTATTTTTACTTTTGGCAAATGCCACCCTATTTAGTACCCTGGTATGATCAGAATTTGATTCTTTGCGTCTATTAAATGCCTGCCTTTTAGATTCTCTTGTTTTTTCAATATTTTCTGATCTCTTTGCTCGCGGAGCTCTGTATTGCTTATTTCTGAACTCTTTATCTCTTCTCCTTGTTGCTATGTATTCCTTCACATAAGCTTTCCCTTCCTGTTCTTTGGTTACAGCTACTGTTTCATTATTATTTGTCATTCTACAGTGATCGATTGTTAACTGTGCTGGTTGATTGTTACAAATTACATTGTTTGCCATTGCCTCTTCATTGAAAGGAACAGTTGAACGGTGTATTTCATCAAGATGTCCAATATTTATGACAGTAGTATCAGTTTCTGAGCTAACTAGACTGATATTACCGGTAGTAACTGATGCAAATCCTGGATTAGATTCTAAAATGTGATTTGTCAAGTTTAATGCATCTGCAACTGCTTGTATAACAATTGCATCAGCCCATGTACCCTGGTGTGACATATAAGCTAAATACCTTAACCATGAATGGTCTGTATTACTTGCAGTGAATCTTTCTGGATTGCTTCTCATATATTGATCACCTATACTACGAATATTCATGTGATAGCTAGGTTCACCATACAACTGATGGAACACCACTCTAAAGAAACAATCACTTGCACCACCAACATCTAACATTCTCAGGCCATGTTGTGCTAATCGAGATTGTTACAATTCAATCAGATTGTTTTTTTAATTCCCTGAGTAACAACAGGTCTTGGGTTTAACTCAAAATCACCTGAAATAAATAACTTTGCCCTTGAAACATAATACTTGTGATTTCGTTTCTTACACTTTCTTGAATAACATTGAACAACATGTACAAATTCATCATGAAAGACAATTCATACTTGAGATGTCTTTTCATGCTTCACAGTTCTTGTTTTGAAAACATAATCATAATCAATACCAAAATAAAACCTTGAACCTTTTGCACGAGTGATTCCAACTGGTTTACTTCTACACATTCTGGTTTTAAGATAATTGTGCTAATCAAATCATGAAATCTTTTTCAACACTGATGAATGTGGCACACTAATCACGATATGAGATCTTACATACCTCTTAATTCTTTATTTTTGTTAAATAAGTTCAGAATTTTCTTCCACAGTAATCTTGATGTTTCTCTATCGCGGCGGGCACCTTTGATAATACATGTGGACTTTGACCTACTTCTCTGTTTCTGTAATTTTCCATGACTTCTGTTACCATCCAGTAGTTCTTCTAACAGCGTTTTGTTATGCTTTGCCTTACGAGTGTTTTCATTAGATATTATGAACAAATCAGTTTTCCTACTGATGTTTCCAGTAGTTTTGTCGGAGCTTCTGTTTGATTCATATTTTTGCTGATATGAGTGCTCATAGGTTCGCTCAAAGGTTTGCTCAAAGTTTTGCTCGTAAGATTCATTTGCAAAAGGCTCACTAGCAATAAACCCCTGTGAGCTTGGAGGATCGATGAGACGTCTCCAAGAGTGAAAGACTGTTTGCATTCAATGCTCATAATCACCCCTTCAGTCTTTCAACAGTTTTGACTACACGTGCATGTGCTGCCATGATGAGTATTAATCAAACTCTCTCGAAGAAAAGCCTAATGAGGCATTCCAGCATTGTTTGGGAAAATCTATGTCAATTGGTCTGCCGTTGACATATTGATTTGTTTACATCTGAGTGAGTAACACATTTGCATATTCTGCCCCATTCTAATAGTCGTTTCTACACTTCACGTATCCACGACTAAAAACAGTATAGGACACACAAGGACAACAATGTCAAAGAAGGTTGTAACTTGCACTTGTTATCAAGAGCATGGGAGAAGACTGATTACAAAACCAACATGGCCATCAGGATCAACAGAAACAAGAAAGTGCCCTATCAGTGTGAAAAAGACCTTTGGTGGAGCTACAATCACAGTGTGGACTGCTTTCATTTAACTTCCTCTTGCCCTCTTTTGCCAGCAACAAGAGACAAATTTTGCACTTACTTTGAGAAGGGCCTGAGTACCTCAGAGGCATTTCATCATCATGAGACACAATTGATGAAGGATCCAGTAACTTCAATGTTCTTGGCTGACCACAAATATGTCCTTCTCTATGTGGTGTAAACAATATGTACAAGAAATGGTTGATTGAAAAGAAAGAGTTATCAAATGGATCAGCAATGTTTGATCAACTTGAGAAAATTGTCGAGGACTACAACAGAAAAAATGCTAATGCAGGAGGAAAGTGTTTCTTGTAAAGGGTCCAGGGTCATGGTGCTGACCAAAAGCATTTGATATTATCTATATGCACCCCTCTCATGTCATGTGTACACACAACTAGGCAGGCTGGAGAGATGGCATTTATGGATTCATCATGGAGCCTTGATTGATACAACAATCCAGTTCAAATTATGTGTACTCATCATCCCTGTGGAGCACTACCTCTTGCAGTCTGGGTAACTTCAACTCAATCTCAATCATGCCCGGAATGCTGCTTAAAACAACTGAAAGCAATTCTTCCAAGCCATACTTTTGGAGGAAAGGGTCCTGAAAAGGGACCTGACATTTTCTTGTCTGATGCAACCTCTGAGAGTCCACTGGAAACAGGCAACACTCCTTTAATGCATCAAGCAACGTGGCAGTGGCTAGTGAACTCCAAGTGCACCATTTCAAAAGATGACAAGCAAGACCTCATGTCCATAATGCAAGACCTTGTGTCTGCCAAGACACCACGAATTTGAAGAAATCAAGGACCTTCCTGTATCAGACACTATTTTACAGAAATATCCTCTGTATCAAGAATATTTGTACAGAGTTATAGAGAGGAAGGAAGGAATGAGCACTTTGTTGAAGAACCGATCTCAGAACAAGAAGTAACAATACAGGTAACTACACAGACTCAATGATCTTTGTTTCAAATGTGTTGTTCTAGGAAGAATGAGAGCTTACAACCTTATTGAGCCATTCTGGTTCATCACTGAAGACCTAGAAATGTACTTCCAATGAAAGCCTCTCTCCTTGGCTTTTGATAAGCCACAAAATTTACGCCTTGCAGCCTGCTGCAGAATCGCAAGCTCTGTTAGTAAAAGTACCATCACCATGGATGAAAAGAGTCCATGCAATTTCCATGTGCCAAGAAGAGATGACAACACCATGTGGCTTTAAAATTAAGAATCAGCAACATAAACTTTAACATAAACAGCAAAGGAGAGATTTAACCTTCCTATCCTTGCTGTTAGAAACAACAAGAATTTCAGTGTTAGCCTGTTTGTAAGCTTCCAACAAAAGGAAATTGAAACTAAGCTGACTTCTATGGAGACCAAGAAAAGGATGAAGAACAGCAAATGTTACTACCCATGCCTGACTCTCTGGAAAGTGAGACCATGGAAACCAATGACAGCATTACTGATGGAGCTTTGCCAAATAATGAAGGTAAATCATCAAAGCTTCAACAACAAGTTTCCCAAACTTTTTTGTTTAAAAAATTTGTGGTCATGTTTCCTTGACGCTGCTGTTTCTGGTATTCTCCAGTGAAACGAACCTGTGGAAAAAAGGTCACACAAGCAAGGAAAGGCTTGGACATAAATTCAGTAAGCTTAGCTACTGAATTTAGTCTGGTTTCTAAGCTCCTTCAGAAAATGATCCCAAAAAAAATTGCCAACCAAGACCAGGTTGAGCCTGTGATAAAAGCAGTGTCATGCTGTCCTTCCTGTGGTTATGTACCAAAATGGAAGACTCATGAGTGGACTCTATGATAATACAGTCAGTCTTATAAATTTTTTTCAGCTAGTTCAGAGAAATTAAGCATTACTGTAAATAAAATGAACCTTAACAACGTAACATTGTGCAAGTTTCTTGGTGTAAGTCACACCTGTTGTTATTAGAGAAATGCTTGGGATATTCATCGAATAACAATGCTTAGACCAGGTTTGGGAGAGGAGGGTGGAACATAAAAACAATGGGTGGAACCTCTAAAGAGAAAACAACAACCTTTTTGTGTCTACTGCACATACACAGGTAGACACTAAGACAGAAAAAAGTTTGTTGACTTGTTGATATGCAACACACATAAAACTCAAGGCCAGACAGCGTAAGGGACTAGAACATTCTGATTTGAAAACAAATTCATCTGTTCGTCTACTAACCGGCCTACCATCAAAACGAGTATTCAATAAGTTGTTTGAAGTAGTGAAGGAAACATTAAAAAGTAAACTACTGGAGTGGCCCAAAAAAATCTACTAAAAAAAGGAAGAAACTTCAAAAAAAACACCAAATAAGTTTGGCCCTAAAAGAGCTTTGTCAGAAAAAGATGAGTTTCTTTTGACCTTAATGAAACTTCGACTTGGATCAACAAATGCTGACTTAGCACAGAGGTTTGGAATTTCAACTACAAATGTAACAAATGTTGTTACTACCTGGGTGAAAATCTAGCAAGTGAACTTAAATGTTTGGTTTACATCCCTCCATCGATGTTGTGAAAGCAACTTTGCCCATAAAGTTTAAAAAGCCAGGCTACTCTAATGTAACGCCACATCATTGATTGCACAGAAATATTTATTGAAACCCCAAGCGACCCAAACCTTAGAGCAGCTACGTGGTCAGACTACAAGCATCACAACACTGCTAAGCTGTTGGTATCAATAACACCACATGGTTTTTTCAATTTCTTATCCAAAGCATGGGAGGAGAACTTCAGATGTGCATCTGACAAGAGAATCATCATTTTATGATATCATTGAACCTGGCGATGAAGTGATGGCAGACCGTGGATTCACAATTGCTGAAGACCTCTTAATCAGAAGCTCAAGACTACACATCCCCCTGGTAAACGTGGACAAGAGCAGTTCACTAAAGCTGAAGTTGCTAAAACAAAAGAAATTGCAAATCTTAGAATCTTTGTTGAGCAAGCAATAAGACGGTTGAAGACGTTTAGACTGATAAAGCATGAACTACCAATATCACTGCTTGGCAGTATAGACAACATTGTACTTATTTGTGCAGCCTTATGTAACTTGTATAGACCCTTGGGTAAAAAATGATTAACAAGAAATGTACAAATAGCTAAAAAAGATTGACAGCATTTAACCCATGAAAGAATATAAACTTCATAAATTTAGAGGATACCAATATGTATTAGTCTAAGTTCTTTCTTAGGTTAAATGTTATTCAAAATCTCTGCTCTACTTTACTAGCAACTAGTATAGAGTGCAATCACTTAATCTTTCATACAAATGGTACCAAATAATACTAAATAGTGTTGATAATGGTACATAACAAGAAAATTAAGTAATAGTATGATTTAGTACCATTTAATGCTTCAGCTATTAAGTATGTGCACTCTGAATAAGAACTGTTATATTATTTGCACCACAAGGACCTCACAAGAGAAAAATTATTCTGGTAGAGTGATTACAATCATTAGATATAATTTGTAAATATTTTTCTTCATTTCACAGCTCATGTGTCGCTGAACACAAATAAATAATATATTATTTATTATTACTATATATATATAACTGCAAACAATATCAAACTGTAACATTTTCAATCATACTGAAGTGTGGTCAATGCATTACTTGTATAAAATTTTCATGATTTGATTCATCCATTCCAGTTTCCACAACAGACAATTTTACTGTTCTATTCAGAGACTATTTGAGTTCAATTTAGAACTGTCAGACCAGTTTTCCAGATATGAAATTGTAAAAATTCTAAATTGTATATAAAATGTACAAATGTATTTTTAGTGTTTACACCATGTAAATAAAGTTTTGTATCAAGTTATAATTAACGAGCATTCATTCACTTAAATACTTATTATAAAACCAAATTAGGTTTTGCTTTATCTTTTCCCAGTAATCATTATTGAACTTGATTAGCTCCAGATGATAACCCTTTTGGGTGTAGACCAGGAAGTGACACCATGTTCTCTTTGTCACAGCCATTTGTCCCTGTATCTGTGCAAAATATGCATGCTTCTCTTTCAAGACAATTTTGCCATTAATCTTTTTTTGTCTTCTGATGGTAAATCATTAACAATAGAATAAGGGGCTAATCCACAACAGGAACATTCAACAAGCAGATCAGGGGATGCTCCAATGAATTTGAATATTTTGCATCTTTGTGCTCCCTCTGAAACAGTTTCACATACTTATCCTTAGCAACTTTCTCCATGTTTCTTCCATATTTTAGAGCAGGTAAATGTTCCGACGGTCCATTACTTTTTACCCTGGATTGGTCTGGTTCCGTCATCACCCCCCTTAGTTTTAAGGGTTTAGTATGTACTCTATAGAAAACAGTTAATCGGCCTTTTCTGTAAAATTCTCAGAAAATGGTGCCTTGTTCAATCAGATGTATATCATAATTAAGTCTTTCTTTGATGACTTAGGTTACATTCAGGTACTTCAGTATTAATAAGAACGGTTCCTCAAATAATTTATGAATGCCGATTCCAACAAGTCCTTCAAATTATTATAAAACACTTCCTCTTTCCTTTTTAGTCAGGGGCTTCAACTCTTCATGTGAATTGAATAACTTTATACATAGGTCTGGTCGTCTCTAGAAAAACACAAAATAAAAGTAAATTAATACTTTGTTTTAAGAACTTTCTTATTTTTAAACTTAATAACATACCTTTTTATTTTTTAACATTTTATTTAGCTTTGAAGCCTTCCACTCCATATCACAAATTCTAGAGGGCTTGATTACAGTCTTGTTTCCTATTGGAACATTTCACACACACTCTTTGGACGTACATGCAGGATTTGTCATACCATTACGGTTTGCTGCTTCAATTCTGAACAGCAGTGCCATCACATGAATACAAGAACCACTCATACTGAAACAAGAAATAACAAATAGTTAGGTATATATGATAGACATAATATTTTAAACATTCTAAAGTATAATATATATTGAGCTTAGACCAACAACATTAGTCATAAAATCGAGGTATATGATAAACATGATATTTTAGGCTTATATTTTGCATCAGTTACAAGTTAAAGTCTTATAAAACAGAAAGTCTAACATACCCAGCAGTACAGGTACAGTAGGCACTGATAATCTCTCCATTTTTTCTTGAACAAATCCATGATGTATGTGGTGTATCACCAACCTTCATCGAATGCGTACATTTTGCTTTCAAGAAGCAAAAATCCATATTTTCTAGTTCATGGTAGAAAACTTCTTTCAGAAAGCCCGAGTCAAATAAGCGGTATGCTTTCCCTCTTTGTACTCATTCATGACCCGTTCGTGCAGTTTAATATCCTTTCCAGGATGATCAGCCATCAGATATTTCGTAATGTCACTTAGAAATATAGGAGGCCATGATGTTAGCCCATCTTTTCATCAATCCATCCGTCCTTTAGCCCAAGAGGATCGGGAAGCTTGCTGCCCTCAGGAGTAAACAATAGCCGCTCTCTCAGACTCCGTGATGCACATTAGTTCTTTAGCCGATGCTTGTACTTGGATTCCCATCTCTGATGCTGCAAACACACGGGCTACAAGTTCAGCTTTAGCTCCAGAAGTTTTAAGACCACGGCAAAATAACTTGAGAGCGTCCACCTTCCATGTGTTGACTTCCTCGAGGGAAAGCTCACTTGTCTCGCTCATTTCCACGCCAAAAACGACGAGAAAACTATATGAAAACTATATACAAACTAGTGAAAACTATATACAAACTATTATTAAAACTATATACAAACTATGATCTAATTTAAACTGGAAAAAATTGTAAAATCGCGAGGTAAAAGTGTATAAATGTTGACGATGCTTTAGTTATCAAGATGGCCGCTGTCACGCTTGGTGCCCACTTTTTATATGAGACGATCCCAGAATGCATTGCGCGCGTTTCGATATCGGAGACTCTTGATGCAGGTATTAAGCATTACTGTAAATAAAATGAACCTTAACAACGTAACATTGTGCAAGTTTCTTGGTGTAAGTCACACCTGTTGTTATTAGAGAAATGCTTGGGATATTCATCGAATAACAATGCTTAGACCAGGTTTGGGAGAGGAGGGTGGGTGGGTGAACCTCTACAACAGTTTTTGTGTCTACTGCACATACACAGGTAGACACTAAGACAGAAAAAAGTTTGTTGACTTGTTGATATGCAATCACTGATCAATAAGTGATCTGTGATGCCGAGGAGAGTCGGTCAGGCCAATTCCAACTAATCATATGTGAAATCGCAACGAGTGACCCACATGTGCTTAACCTGTGTTGCCAAGGAGTCAGTCACAAGTGAAATTGCACAAAGGACTCACCTGCATTAGAGTGTGTGGGTTCTGCAAGCTCATGTTTTCGATAAGGTCGATTGAGTATTCTCTAGTCTGTGCATGTCTTCGACACAGGTCCACTGATTTTCTGCAAGCTCAAGTATTCATCAGTTTGTGCGTGTTCTTGACAAGGTCCATTGTCTCTACTGCAAGCTTGAGTATTCATCAGTCCATGCGTGTTTTCAACAAGTTCCATTGTGCCCCCAGGATTGTGTTCAGTGCAGAGTGTGTGGTCTTCTGATAAGTTTTGTTCTATAAACTTCTGCTCCAAAGCTGGAGGAACAACTCTTAGACATTCTGGATTGATACTTGTTTTATGGGCTGTTGGAAATCATCACAAAATGACCTTCCTTTGCGCGGCACCAATGATGGTTCGTGCAGTTCCCAGTGTTTAGAAAAAGTGTCAAAATCGATATCTCTGCTTATTGTTTGCAAAATTCGACCAACTTTGGTCACAAAGTCAGCCTGAACTATCACGGTTACAAGATCAGAATACTAAAATGAGCTCTCCATTCAAGGGATTCACAACTATGCCATTCACCAGGTACATGTACACCTTTCCATAATTAGGTCTACATTGTCTTTTTTCCAGCTTGGGCAGAACTTTTAAATTTGGTGTACTGTCAAATTTATCATGGTTAAGTAAGCAACTTTGCAATTTATTTTTCTCTAAAATTCTTATCCAGTCCTTGGGAAGTTGAGCTCAACATGTGGTTGTTGTACGTAGTGTTCAAGTGAAATCTTCTTCAGTTATGGAAATGCAGTTAATGGTGAGCTTATGCACTGGTATGTTTCGTTTGTTTCAGACCCGCTTTTTTTAAAAAATTTATTTTTAAGACAACATCTATACTATCAGTTTCTTGTGTACTTTCGAGTTGTGGAAAATCATGCTCAATGTGTGAAATGTTTACATCGAGTGGATGTAAATATCGATTTCAGGACAACAATAAGAAGAAAGGAAAGACACTACAAAGTTTGTAAATCTAGGGACAGGGAACCTTCTAGGATTATTGACAGGAAGATTTTTAAATCCATGAAAAAAAGAACTGGTAGATTAAGAAAAATTTCAGTCCATGAAAAAAAGAAGTAGTAGAAAAAGTTCAGTTGCATAGTCTATTAATGTTTCATTATATAAGAAGTATGTATCCACTCTTGCAGAAAACTTCAATACCACAAATAAGATATTATTTAATGAGTTATTTTAAGATAAAATAAGTCCACGCAAAACATGGATTTCTTGTTGCAGTTTCCCCAGCAACATGCAGCAAAAAAGGCAGTAGACACATGTACACTTTGCATACCTTTTGTTAATGTCTGGAGATATGGGAAAAAAATAACTATATATTCCATGTTCAAAGAAAATGGTGGTCAATTCGAACACATGCCGTGATCTATTTATGAAAAAGTTCTGTGATTATTCTGGATGCGTGAAGCCTTAATTGAGGTCATGAAAGTTTTAAAAGTTTACGAAGTTGCAACTACTTCAACCTTTACTATTGTGACACAGACAAAAGGTTTTGGAGGTATTATGGCAAGAAATCTTAAAAGTATACATGTTACTAAATTCATTTTTTGAGCATACTAATTTAAATTTAAAATTTATTGCAAGGATTTTCTTTAGAAAAGAAAAAGAAGGACAGCACATGCATGTGCTGCTAAGAAGGATGGGTTTTTAAGCAATTTAGTCTGGGATGGGGTATGGAAATCAGAAAGTTTTTGTGTTGTCATGGAATTAATTATGTTAAGATTTTCCATAATTGATTGAGGTAGAGACAAAATCCAGAAAAGAAACATCAAGAAACCTCAGGAGTGATTTACAGTAAGGAAAAGCTGAAGGGGAATGTTGCATATGCATTTCTCTGCCAAAGCCTGATCACCACAAGAACCATCCTTTTGGACAGGTTTGTACTAAGTAATACAGTTAAACTATGTTAACATGACCACTGAAAGAACCACAGACACTGTCCATGGTAATGGGGTTTCTGTATTAAGATGTACTGAATGATACCTTTTCTAGTTGGCACTGTGACATATTAACTTTCTGTGAGAATCTGTGGATTGGACAAAAAAGAGCATCTATGCTGTTCATATTGACACAATAGAATGAATAGAAAGACAATGTCAGACCTTTCCATATGGAAAAAGAAAAATGTCTGAAGTAACAAGTTGTCAAAATAGAGTGGGCGTCCCTTAAAAAAGGGGATTTGACCACACATGAATTTCAGATTACGTTACCTTAAGCACCACGCAAGACCTCCAGACATTGAAAGAGCTTAATGCAACCATGGAGATGGTTGTGAAGATGTGAAGAAAGTATTAAAAAGGGATTATTTGGAGTTGGTGATGGAGGGGAGGTAATAACTGATTCATAAAAAAAAAGAATTTACAGATGCAATGGTCGGAATGTTTTGGATGGTAAGTCATATAACCGATTCCATACAGTAATTATTCATTCTTAAAGGGTGGAAGATGATCGAAAATCCGTATTTGAGGTTTATATTCATAGAAGGTGGATAGGAAATTGCAAAATGGGGTCAAGGGGACAAAAATGTATATTCTTATTCTAATAGAAAATCTAATTGATTATTTCTTCTTTTGTACAGGGGAAAAAACGCTAATGCATCAGTTCATACAGGGTTTTACTTCTAGATTGGTGGTAAATATCCAATTTAGCAGTAATCTGAACAGTGTAAAATAATATTCTAGGACTACTTTATTCTTAAACGAAAGAAATTTACATTTTACCTGAAGGTTGGGATTAAAATTTTAGGTATGTGCTACACTTTGGTTTACCCCGAGACTCAAATCATAAGGTCTTTAAACATTGTACTAAAACATATGTAGAAACTGGCTTGGGTAATTAAGTTTGCACTTCACACAAACTCTCCAAAATTGAACAAAATTTGGTCAAAATATGAGCCATTTGAACATTTAACATAAATGTCATGTTATTTATGAAAGGGAATAATAATCATTTTTGTTAGCCAAAAGTTAACGGATTTCTTAAATATACAAGCTCAATACAAACATTAAATTGAGACAACCTTTGTTAGCTTTTTAAATGAAACTGATTGATGTTGCCACCCTCTAATTTAGTTAAAACTAAGTTATAAATTGAGGAGATAAACCAATTAGGAGCAGAGTTGCATGACAAAGAGCAAAATCCTTCTGTTTGCTCCATGATTGTTTTATTAAAAAAGAGCAAAAAAGAGCATTCTTTATAAACCTCTAAGTCTTTTCAACCATTATATCTATTTGTACCATCACAATTAATTACTTTTAAGACAATATAGTTTAGCTGATAATTAACTTAATTTTACCACAGTCAGTTTTTGACATCTGCATCTATAAACTTAAAAAACTGAAAATACGGACACTGGTTCAAGCCACCTAACAACTATGGAAAATACTTGTTCATTTCTGTCGATTGTGGGAGGCCAATGTGGTCATGACAGAAGAGACAGGAACAGAGCAAATGAATGTATGCCATTACTTAGATGTCAGTGGGATGTAACTGGCTGCAAGGCAATGCTTACGTTTCACAGCATAGATAATGAAGTTGAGTTAATTCTGGTGAGAGCATCCATCTTCTTCTCTTCCCAAAATATTGACCAGATGACAGTATGTCCAACACCTAGAGCATTGCTAAGGATTAGATGGATATGCCTAGTTCCCGACAAGTAGGAAGTGCCTTCAATACTGTCTTATTCATAGTGAAGATATTAGCAAAAGGCCAAAAGCAGATAGAGGTTTAAGCAAAGTGGGCTCCTATGCAAAGTGACAAGAAACTTGGGTTTTTCTTGCTGTTGACTCAGATTTGTACTCTTTAAAATTAAGTATCAACATTGTTGTTTTTCTTGATGAAAGTGTTAGTAAACTGAATGTTTTGCCAAAGTTTAATTTCTAGCTAATTTGAGCTGCAATACAATGATTAATTTTTTGTTACAAATAAAGCATGATTACAATGCAACTACAAGGTTTTAACCTTACAATCTCAGAAATGGCAATGGTTTGTTCATTTGTAGGTTTGTCTAGATGTTTGAAATAAGACTGTTACAGGTCTTTGGGGTGCAGCACACTGGTGCAAAAAACAATGGGATCAAGAGACAAAATAGGGGAGGGGCTTGTGACAAGGAACTTTCCCGTGCTGCAATCTTTCTCCCACACTATTTCAGAGGTGAATGAAAGTTATCCTCGCAGTGATGAATTACATCAATAGAAGCTGGCAACCAGCGAATTTCACTGCCTACTTACTAAATCATCACCGCCTTATTTCTCACATAAAATTTCTTTTGAGTGACAATTTCTCACTAGTTAAAATGAAATATGGCATTAAGAGAAAATTTTTCTTTGCCGTGTCCTTTTTTCTGTTGCTGTAATAGTATATTTATGAAAGGCCACAGCTGTATGAACGATTTCAACACACGATGGTCTTGTTGCATCGTCAGCCATGTTGATTAAACAAAGGAGAGGGACTGGTGTCAATTCTTGCCTCTATTACATTTGCTCTTCAGTTTCGGTCCATGTGTTTTGACAATGGAGCCCAGCCATAAGCAAACGGAAGCAGCACAATTTTAGCATATTTTAATAAAAGATCAAGACCCAAAACAGAAACAGGTACAGTATGTAAACAAAATTAATACCGTTGTTTTTCCATTTGATGATTGCATTGCCTGGGTATTCAAGGATTTTTTGGACAGAATGGGGACATCAGAGATGTGCATTAACCTGTTTGGTGTGCTTAGTTATAAAGTTATTACCTTTTACCTTTTATAAAACCATCCAGGCAATAACGGTCCATTTAGTCTGGGTGTAAAAGACACAAATGAGAAAATTTTGAATTACAAAGCCCTATGTTCATGAAAAATTTATTATTATCAAGCCTTGTGTACAATAAAAGGCCTACAAGTATACCTGTTTCTGTCATAGGTACTGCCTTAAATGAGAGTGAGCTAACAAGTACGTCATCTGCTGAGTAGTCGGTCACCAGAGCAAGTGAAAATACAACTGCTGCCAAATAAAGTCCCTAATAAGTCTGACACTCCACGAGATTGTGAGGAACTTATAGAGAGATTGTTTAATGATGTTTCCATAGTCCTTAGTAAATACACTTGCTCACGAAAGAACTGCAGAAATCTAAGATCAATTCACAAAACAAGTCAAGGAGATTTAACATCGAAGCCTCTGTAAGATTTAAATGCAACGCTGTTTGGGAACATGTTAACTCACGACAACACAAATCAGCAGTGGAAGCAGAGCTGATTCAAAGAGTTTCTGTATTCCATAAGGAAATTGAGTAAAGAGACCAGTCCAGGGATGATGTAATCCATTCAGTTTTTCTCTAGTTATATTGGCTTGTGAAAGAGGACGTGCAAATAAAAAAAATCTGTACCCCTTCTAGAAATGACAGAGCTCCTTGGGCTTTCCAATATGAAACTCTTTAACCACAGATCAGCAGGTGCTACACGTGAAATGCTCCTCATTCTTGGACAGGTTATTAACAATGTGACCCTGGAAAAAGTAAAAAGAGCTACTTGTTTCACCTTCTGCTGTGACGAAGTTTGTGACATTGCCAACAATGAGCAACTGATCACCTTTATTAAGTACATCAATCCTGACAGCAGTAAGGCAACCACACAATTTCTATCCACTAAGAATATTCTAACAAGTTTCCAGTCACCCAAAGCTGAAACAATAAAATCAACTGTGTTGACGCAAATGGCAGAGTCAAAATTGAAAGTGTAAAACCTGACAGGTCTTGCAACAGATGGAGCAAGCTGAATGACAGGTAAGAGGAAAGGTGTTGCTTCTAAGCTTTGTGAAGAGTCCAAATTACTGCTGAGTGTCCACTGCATTTGACATTGTCTTGCATTGGCATGTAAAGATGCAAATGAAGATGTTGCCTACATTAAGATGGTGGAAAAAGTACTTGTACAGTTGTGGACATTATTTCATAACTCACCAAAGGAGACTGCCTATGCAAAAGCAGTTGTAAGTTACAACCAGATTTCATTGTCAATGAAAGGTTGTAAGAAAATTGGAAAGTCTTTCAAAAAGGCTCACAGAACTATATGGATCTCCATGGAGAAGGCAATAGGCAATGTTTACAATTATTTTGTCCCTCTGACTCCAACACTTTGCTTGTTGAATGAAGACGGAGATTCAGTGGCTATTGGTCTCTTGCAACACATTGGAAATATCAAGTTTCTTTCAGCTGTTTATTTGTTGCACCAGGTTCTACCCCCACCTGCTCATCTGAGTAAAGTGTTCCAAGCAGGTTCTGTGTCATTTGCAGCAATTGGCTACATCCTTTAGGTAATTAAGAGCTAATGTCAGCACGCATCAGACAAACAGCGGCAAGTCACCCAAAATTTGCTTTCACTCCTACTTTTTGCTTTCACTCCTACTTTCAAATATGCAAATTTTCACCATGAATATTACCTGAGTTGTGTGACCTCACGTAATGAATGTACTTGACCTCCAGTATTTCTGTCAACATAATCCGTTGTTTTATCATCTAAACTTAATCCTCTGTCATTATTGAAGCTGGCAAAGTAATATTTATTTTTTGGTAAATATTTTTGTCAAACATACTTTTCCTATGTCAAATAGTAGCATCAAAACAAAGACAGTATTAACAGTGACTGATATGACAGAATCTACTGACCTTCGAGCCTATAAAGGACAAAAGGATGGTTAAAAAGTTACTGTAAAAATTTTCATGCGTATTTTATTTGTGTTGTTCTCTCTTGAGACAAGCTCAAAGTCTGGTAAACTTACTTGCTAGTGACTATGAAATATAGAAAGTGTGCCTACTTGTCGCCACCATTTACTGACATAAATGATTACAATTTGTTAAAAAAATCTAACATAACACTCTTACCTTGTTTATTTATGATTTTATGACCTGTTTTGATGATCACGTTATGTTCTACCAAACTCTAGCCAGATTTGAGTTCCAGTTTTAAAATCCTCTCAATCTTATTAAATCACTTGC